TTAAAACCGTTCGGACAGTAATTACTACCTAATTGCTATATGGTTTTGCACGAATATGACAGAAAGTTGGTCTTGTACCATTATGCAGGATAAAGTTGGTTTTGTACCAACGAATAAAAACTTTGAATAGTTGATTTAAATTTTTCAGTGTTTTTTTTATCCCTGACTTTGTTCACCAATAAAAAATGATTTGTAGATAAAGTTTGTTTATTAAAAATAAAAGAAACGTATTAATTAATGAATAATTAAATATAAACAACAACTTTAGGAACTAAACAGTCACAGACTGTGTCATCTTCTACTAAACTTACAGGTTGTAAGGTTAGAACAGTTGGGTATCACGAATGAAATCTTCCGTAGTATCTTCCCAGTTTTCCCCAACCATGAGATTTAGAAGTTTTTTTCATATTAGCAACCTTTTCTTTTGAAATTGGGTGAGATAGAGGAAGATTAGGGATCATAAACTGGGCGGCAGACTTTCCATTAAAACGGTGTTTATATGGAGCCTTAACTATCATTTTCAAAGAATCAGTTTTTAATTTTATCGCTTTATGTATTTAAAGATAATGAGGAATTTTTAAGCGGGAAACTCGTTTTGAAAAATTCATGAATGAAATGATTAGTAAACAACTTGGAATTACAAATTAAAGAGAAACAGAAATAAGCTATGCGGGGAGAGGAGGGTTCCGTCCAATCAGAACAGATGGAGTGTCCCAGACAGTACGTCGTGCCTTTATCTTACCTACATACAGAAATAAGCCTTTGGGGAAGATTGAAAGATGTTATCTATAAACAGCCAATAAATTCCCGACAGCAATTAGAAGCAGCAGTTGTGAACGCTTTTGCAACGCTTAGGCCCATTGAGCTTATCAACTCAGCAAAAAGTGTTAAAAAAAGATGTCGACTGTATATAACACAAACCGGGGGATATTTTGAACATTTTCTATGGAAAAGGGGTTTACTTTTCTTATTTATTACTATTTTTTGTTGTTATTTGTTGTCATACGTATTTATTGTTGTTTTATAATAAGTTTTATTAATTTAATCTGCTTTTTATTTATAACTTTATGTTTTAATTCACATATCAATGGATTCATAGTAACCAACTATCTTGATAGTACTTATAAATTTAATATAATCTCGTTTTTGTTTTATTTCCAAAGCCTACTTTTTCAAAATCTGCACATATAAGTTTTAAAGTTGTATATTTGAAAGAAGACTTGAAGGAAATATCAAGTGTACTATATTTTTGGAAAGAAAATTGTATGCTCTCGTCGAATTTGCTTCGTTTTTTTTTAATACACCTGTATCTCGGAAATAGGTATCGATATGCGGTTTTTGCCATTAAGTTTCTTATAAAAATCGAACCTCAGACACTTGGACACTCAAATAAGCTAGAGGGCGTTATCTGCAGCAATTACATATTTTTGTGATTTAAAAAAAAAAGTTAAACGCTGTTTAAGTCTCAGCTCTGGACACGTTTCTAATGGCATTTAGTGCTTTGTCATATTTTCTCTGGTTATTAGTTTTTCTTGAAAAGTCACGTCGTTTAGTCTAACCGATAGATAAAGGGGTGAAAGCAATGTAAGGGTGCAAGTTTACACCAGCTTGTTGAAAGATGCTTCATGCATCCATAGCATTTGTGATAAAAGGTTTGGATTTGCCCGAATCATATTTAAAAGTCAATGATAATAGTTGAGTCTGTTATCATAATCGGTATCTGTTAAGGCCTGATGTAAAACAAAGTGGTGGAGATACATATTATTCTCTTGAGGAATCTTGTGGACAATTGTTTTCGAGGTTCTCAGATTATGTGGGATCGCATTGCGCACCAATGTGATTTACGAATTCATAGAGATGTGTGAATGGGCTACACGTTGCCAGTTTCCCGTAATCGCTAAGCCAATCTTAAAAACACTTCTAAAGAAAAATATCTTTCTTTGTCCTAATTGCATTGCAGATTTTTGCCATGCAGTTGCATCATATTCGAAACATTGAAAATAAATTATTATACGCTTCTGCGTTAGTATATGATATGTTTACTGTTACCATGGTTATGTGATTCATTTTTCTTGATGAGGTAACTGGATCTGATTGATGCTAGTCGAATTTTTAACATTTTCTTCTATAATTCGAGAGCGGATGGCGATATCGAGATGCGGTTTTCACCAATATTTAGCAAATTTTAAGGTGACTAAGAGTCTGTGAAGTAAATAGTACCGTTCCATTTAACTTTTTTTTCAAAAATATGTAATCGCTGCAGATAACGCCCTCTAGCTTATCTGTTTTAAAGCAAACTGTCTTACGGAAATATCCTTTAAAAGAGCAGAAAATGCTCTTTCAAACAAGACCAAAAATACTCAAATCGCGTGAATGGTCCAGGAGATATTAAAATGTATTAAAATGTATATGTACATTTGAAAACGGATTGGCATCCCCCTCCCTTATTATGACAGATATGAGAAATATTGCAAAACAAAAGCGATGCCGTATTATCTAAGCTATTAAATAATGTTGTCAAAGTTATAGCTCATCGTCTAACTTTCTGAGATAGCGGGAATTTTATGTTTCTCTATGGCATTTACGCCCCTAGCGGTCGAATTACGAACTTCAAAATAATTTCCAGCTATTTCTCTTGCCCACTTTGCCTATAACAATTTTTTTCCCAAACCTTTAGGCTTTACCGTTGTCGAGATACAGCCGCTCCGTACCCTTAACGGGACATCCTGTACAGTGTGTTTCAAAAGTAACGGATGAATTCGATAAAATCATTACAAACAATTTATGAAAAAATTGCTGAAACGGGTCTAGAGATTTAATTTTTTTGGTATACAGGGTGAGTCAGAAAGAATGGGAAATCCGAATACCGGAGACACTAGACACCAAAATATGATGACCTCTTATACAAATGTCAGTGGTTTTCGAGGCATAGGGTGTTGAAAGTTAAATTCTTATTTCGAAATTTCTTGATAATTTTGAAGGTTTTTTACTATTAACATAAAATTTTTTAGTTAGATGTTTTCGAGCATGAGAAATACGAATTTGATATTTGTTTTGTGATTACTCGTAGAGGGCGCTAGATGCACACTGTATGTTTGAGATATCAAGTCATGACTATTTTGTCAGTTGAGGTATGGTGAATTAGAACCAGAAATCTGAAGGAGTTTTCAATTCTGCACAAAAAAGGTACTCTTGCTTACATTGTCTAAGTCTACTGGTTTCCAAGTTATCTGCTTTTAATTGTTTCAAAGTAATTTTAAGGTTAACATTTAAAATCAATAACACACAGTAACTATAGCAATTAGTAACGATAATAATCGATAACAATAACAATTAATTAATAACAATAGAATATTGTGACCTTTGATTATATATAATCAAAGGTCACAATATTCTATTGTTATTAATTAATTGTTATTGTTATCGATTATTATCGTTACTAATTGCTATAGTTACTGTGTGTTATTGATTTTAAATGTTAACCTTAAAATTACTTTGAAACAATTAAAAGCAGATAACTTGGAAACCAGT